CGGGTCTGGTTAATGAAAGTGTTCCAAAACGCGACATTAATTCATTGACGACCTAATACTTAACAATATCAGTTCACAGTGTTGCTGTTAAGAGACACGGAAGAACGGAGTGTTTCCAAGATACAACTGGCTTTTATATATATCAGATAGCAGAATAATAATTTATTTATTTGTTTGTTTGTTATGAATTTCGCGCAAAGCTACACGAGTGCTACCTGCGCTAGCCGTTCCTAATTTAGCAGTGTAAGACTAGAGGGAAGGCAGCTCACCACTCACCGCCAACTCTTTGGCTACTCTTTTACCAGCGAATAATGAATAATAATTTATTAATAACTATAGTTTGATGTATAGAGAATCGGTTTGAGTATAAATAACAATAATCTGAACAAATCTGTACTATGGAGAGACGAAAATACAAAGATAACTAGAAGTTTTTATTCAAATATGTGTATCTTTGTGATTTATTTTTTATGTTCTTATGCTTAACTGCATGAATAGTAAGTTTATCCGAAGAGCCTGTGATCTATGAAACGGGATCATCGCTGTTATATTAGTTTATTTCCTTAGTTATCAGTATTTTATTATGATTGACCAGAAATTTTCTGGACTGTTTTTCTCGTTTCTGCCTATTGCATTATGACGATCATGATTTTTAACAGAATAAAAGTTAAATCAGTATATATACTTTCTACGTGTTAATGTTTGCATAAATGTTTTGAAAACTGAAACACATAGTTACTTGATCATAAACTCTTCATTTTCAGAGCTTGATTTTAATGATCGTCACATGAGATAATTTCAAATATAAATATTTAATTTAAAAATATCGTACTTTAGTGAAATACGTTCTATCAAATACTGTTTTTCCGTCTTACTATTTCTTAATATTAAGTATTATAACTCACAGTCATTGTAGAAAATATTTTATTCATACAAATGATCACACGATATCCAATTTACTTTACAATTTTGTAGCAAGTTACGTTGACAAAAACCTGCTGAACATTTTGAAAACAAACATAAAAAGCTCTCACAAAAGCAACCTTTATATGGTAAAAATTGATAAAACACAGAAAATGTACCCATACACACATATAATGTAGTTATGTATCATCTATGAAAACAGAATTCAATATGTTCAAACCTGCCCGATTGGCGACCTCTTCAAGAAACATAGACGACTAAAAGAGCTGAGCGAAAAAACAGCCGGTAAGCAGCAAACTATTTTTTTTCTGTTTTTATGTTCAAAATAAAAAGCAATAAGGATAATGTTCTCAAATAATTCACAATGTTTCACATCCAAGTTATATACTTTCGTAAAAATGGCTTAAATAAATCATGTTGTTTTACTTTAAAACTAGATGATAAACTTTGATAATGGAAAGTGATGTTTAATATAATTACGTTGGACTTTTAGAAGTAAACACAGATATAACTATAGTCTTTAGTTCTTACCATCTGAAGTTCACAGTTTACAGAATAACATTAACGAAGGACTAAAGATACATCTCACCAGTCAAACTACCGGTTTATATTCGTTCCATACCTTGACAGCGGAATCATATGTATTGAACTCTAAAGCATGTTTTTATCATTAAAATAATGCCATGCTGGTCAGCCATTCCTCAACGCAATGTAAAGTTGAATTTCACGTATCCGGAAGAATATTCAGACATCAGTTTGCCTTGTTAAATAAGACAGTTCTGTTTGGTCTATGTCGCAGAGCGGTCCGGTACATACAGGTCTAGATAGACTTTCCACAATTCGCTGCTTTCCACCAGGGGGCCAAGCATTTTCTTTTCTTAACAAACTATGTTCTTCTGTTGCCAAAGGGCTTGAATGGCAAGGCGAAACTTGCTGTTGTGTATTAGATATACATTATTGGCTTTATTCCTTTCAACAGAAAAGTATTTTCATCAGAAATAGATATAATGAAATACAATAAAACACGCCCTTTGTTTTATGAATAACCAGTTGATATGCTAAGTGTATGTAATGCAACCGTGCACCGTTGTTTGATATTACGATTTATCTTAATGCTACTGTTAAACAAGTCTTGAGAAATCCTGAAGGGAAATAAGCTTATAAGTTAATTATATTCAGATAAACCCAAATGAAATATCCTTTAATATAGACTTACAAGTTTTAGTAGATATCAATAATATAAATTAATGTTTTACAATAGTTACTAAGGTTTAGTTTGAAAATATTTGGTATCGTCAACCTGAACAGCAGCTTATGCAACACATAAATTAAGCAGACAGGTCAGAAACCTCCAAGATTAGGGTTAGCCTTTCCTAAGCTAGAGCTGCTGAACAAAGAGAGGGCGACTAATAGGTTGCTTTAACAGTCTACACAACTACTGTTAACAGAATAGCGGCCCATCACTTTTATAACATGTATACAGTAGAAAGTATGAAGCGTATTCAGAGGTGTATTACGAGCTCGAACCTTCGATCTTTCACTCGAAGCCCGGAATGCTTACTATAAGGTCATGTCAGGCCCTTTGTTTAAAATACTTCCCTGAATAATTGAATTTGTGATAGATTATATTGAAATATTTTTATTTAAATGTATTAAATGGCATAGTATTTTCTCAGTTGGACACCTTAATGTTTAACTCTTTACAGCCTTTACCAAAAATATATATTATTTCCAATCTTTTTGGCAAGAAGGATAGATAAACTGTAAATATGTTGTATTTTGATCTGGAATATTGCTAAAAAATACAAGAGTGTGTTAAACGTTTATTCAATTGGAATAGTAAAACTTTTACTAGAATTGTCAATGAAGAATGAAAGTAATTACCATTTCAAATTCTCGAGAACTAAAATTATCAGATTCTTTTCTCTCTTTTGGTGACCACAAATCTTCAACATGCGGATCATAATCGTCTTTCATGTCTTCGTAAGTACTAGAGTCCGGTAGTTGGTTATCTCCTGACAAATAAGTAAATAAAACATGATTGTTCAAATTTATAACTAACTACACTTTTTTATCTTTTACATTCAGTGCCACTGCTGTTTGAATCATAACCAAGTATGAAAAATAAACAGAGAACATAATTTTTGGTAATATATATAGACATAAACAATGATATATATTATGTACACAATTCAATTATTTATCATGTATTTATTGAATATAGTAATTTTGTTGTTAATTGCTAATAAACTTAAATTGAAAGCCTTTAACATGAACAAAAAATCAGTATTGTGTAGCCTTGGTCGGTATTAAGGTTACGTTCGACTTGAAAAGTTCAGGCTTCCTTTGGACCACTTCTTCCTTCTATGGTAATAGTATTTCTTACTGATAATGCGCTTCAGTACATTAACGGTTCGGGCATACCCTATGACAGTTTGTAGAGGTTTTTACACACACACTCGGACACCTTTTCCGGGGCTATGTCCTTGGATTTATTTCTAAGTATTTCATGTGATGTGAATTCTCTTAATCTTACTGTGTATACAGTCTCACACTTACAAAGCAATCAGTTTAATCTAAACTGTTTGTTTGTTTGTTGAATTTCGCACAAAGATACCCGAGGGCTACCTGTGCTAGCCGTTTGTAATTTATAAGTGACATACTAGAGGGAAGGCAGCTAGCTAACGAAAAGTGTTTGTTTGTTTTGTTTGAAGTTAAGCACAAAGCTACACAAAGGGCTATCTGTGCTTTGCCCACCACGGATATCGAAACCCGGTTTCCAACGTTGTAAGTCCGAGGACATTCTGCTGTGCCTCTGGGGGAGGTGGGGCTACGAAAAATGAGATTCATCATAACATTATAACTCTCCCACAGCTGAAAGGGGAGCATATTTGGTGATAAGATTCAGACACGCAAGTCGAGCGCCTTAAACATCAGGCCTTGCCAGCCCCAGATTGCGAGAGGAGCACCTTAACCACCAATTTATGCCAGGCCAATCTAAATTGAGAGAGCAGCAATATTTATATTTGATTGTCAGCTTACATTTGACAACTGTAAATACTATGCTTATGACTTCGGAAAACCTATGCAATCAACATCTTAACTACTGATTAGATATGAAACTACCACATATTTGTATTTTAGTAATATAACAGTGCTTTATCTTAAACTGTTTGCATACTTTTCAGTATATTACATGAGTCCTGAGCATGCATAAAACAAAATGTTTAATGTGTGCCAAACAATAATTATAATATTTAAAAGAATATGAATTAACAAATTGAAGATATCAATGTTAAGGAATCGAATATAAGTAATAAAACTGTTAAATATCATTCAGATAATAAGATAAATATATAACGGGAATTAAAAATTGTATGATGTAGTCAGTATACATAATATCAACCTATAGTCTTCAAACCCCTACCTGGAATAATGTCCGGGCACTTTTGTGAGGAGAAAGATGCAAAGTGCTTTTGAGCCTGGTCGTACTTGTTTGACCTACATTCGTTTCAATAGATAATTATCATTATACATACTTTTTTTTTATTCACAACAAATATTATTATGATATTTTGATGCTTATGTTAAAATTGCAAAATGCAATATGAAAATAGATATTATTATCTAACAACCATGTTTTGTAATTATGCAGGGTTTAGTATGTTATATTAAAACAATTTTGAATAAGCAAATCAGCATGTCACGTGACAACCACAGACGATATAATGTCTCATTGAACCAATATGTATCAGAACAACATTTTTTTTACATTATTTGAATTTTCGTATGTAGTGTGATGTCACAGAAAATGTATCTGATTTGGAAATGGTGTGTAACATCACTTTGCGACGCAAAATATTCATACAATTAAATCATAAATATGTATTCAAATCGGGTATTTAGAATTCCCAAGACAGGAATATTCCTTCTACTAAATGATATTGGAAAACAAAGAAATGTGAATAAATTTAAGGTACAAGAACCATCAAGAAACAGACCTGTTACATGTGTTACCCAACCCTGGTAAGTAAAGTATGATAGGAGAAAATCCACGTCCTGTTACATATGTTACCCAAACCTGGTAAGCAAAGTATAATAGGAGAAAATCCACGTCCTGTTACATGTGTTACCCAACCCTGGTAAGCAAAGTATAATAGGAGAAAATCCACGTCCTATTACATGTGTTACCCAACCCTGGTAAGCAAAGTATAATAGGAGAAAATCCGCGTCCTGTTACATGTGTTACCCAACCCTGGTAAGCAAAGTATAATAGGAGAAAATCCACGTCCTGTTACATGTGTTACCCAACCCTGGTAAGCAAAGTATAATAGGAGAAAATCCACGTCCTGTTACATGTGTTACCCAGCCCTGGTAAGCAAAGTATAATAGGAGCAAATCCACGTACACAAATTTCGGAAGCAAAAGTTGTTCACGAGTGCAGGCAACAGTATGCAACATAATCAAGAAGAATCTCGGTCTGAAAACAAGGACAACAGGGTAAAGATTCAACCAGATAATATTTCCAGTCTTACCTCTTGTTCAACAATTGTATACTTCAAGCAGCTGGAGATTATAAATGGCGTTCATTCTATTCCATACGAAGTCATACCAAGGAAGTCACCTGGATTTTGTGAGATCAGACTGTTGAAACGGACGTTCGGAAACCGTCAATCTTGTACACTAGAGAACATTTTAAAAACCATGTATGGGGGAGAAGTGTGGTTTCTGCATTACATCCTTACGATGGAGCCTTTTACAGTGGCAGCTACGATGCAGGGTTATTATCAAGATGCACGGTCGTCAGATAAGGCATGACCGAGCATGATGACATGGACCATAAAGACGTGTTGAGGCCCCAATATTTTAATATAGCTTACTAAACCTTCTGTATAATCTTCTTTATCAACAAGATTTTTGTCATAAATCAGGTTTTATTTTATAACAAAAAATTGCATTTAAAAATCTATACTTACTTTAGATCTCCTTCCTTTGAATGCTGTCCTATTGAAAATAAATGACATTGTTATAAAAGTATATTATATGATTATGTGGTGTGCATATATTATAATTATACTTGTATAACATTTTGCTGCGAATATTTTAAATATCTTAAAGAATAGATAATAAATCATCTTATGAAATGTTATCGGTAGTTTGAAACTAATTAAAGTTCGTTAAATGTTTTTGAAACGGAAGAATACATTAGCTCATATAGCTTTTTAACAGAAACTGAGCCTCTCAAAATAACTTGTCTGTTTTTAAGAAAAACATAAAGCATATTGTATTATAATCAATAATTTAATACTATGCAGGTGATTGTGACATTTCTCAGTTATACTGGTTAAACCGGTATACAAGATGTGAGGAAGTTACCTTTACTTATAGTTTTACAAAAATAATTGCTAATTCCAGGATTTTAGCTATTACATAATGAAATCCTTTTTTCTTTTTAGTTTTAACCTTTTTTACTGCAGATGCGTATTTATTTACGATAATGATTTTGATCTTAATGGTTATTTCCCAACACCTTGTTCAGCGGATAATTTGTGGACTTGTAGCACTAAAAATCGGATTTCTTACCCATGGCGGACAGAGCCCCTTTGTGCTTGAGAAAACAATAAATAGTTTTATTAAATGTTATTCCTATTTTTGAAAATTATAGTAAAGAGTCAAAGCTTTTGCTTGTTTTTAAACTCAAAGCTCCACAATAGGGTATCTGTGCTCTGCCCAACTTCGTTATCGAAACCCGATGTTTAGCGCTACAAGTCGTCAGATGTACCGCTGAGCCAATGGAGGAGCAGGAGAAGCAAAGAAGAACGATATTGTTATAGTTTGAATTATTTGTAAATGTATGATGTATCACGTGTAATTGGTGAAAAAAAAAAACATTAAAAGAATTAATTAATTAATGAGGTTGGAAATTATACACTATAAAATAAAATATTTAGAACGAACACAAAGTTTCATATATATCCCCTATTTAAGATACTATCTCAAAACTAAAACTCACTTATTTCATTTCACTCCGTTGATTTTCAAAGGTGTAGATGCAATTAACTTTATTAGGAGTTCACTTCAAGTACGTAAACATTCATGATTCAAAGACAACCTATATTGTAAATTGTTTCTGCTTGAACACTTTTTGAATCGTGAAAATTAAGTAAAGCCCAGGGAGTTTTCTCAACTTTCAAGTTTATCCTTTCATGCGTTGACTTTGACATCTTCGGAGGGTTAATCGCACTTTATAAAAACGATATTACATGCTCCTGAGTATTCAGAGAAAGTGATATCCAACTGATATCTGTAAAACGCACATTCTGGACATGTTATGCAAATAGTTGCAATGTACTACGACAGCAAAGGAAAACAAGAAAAGACAAATGAGCAAATATTATATTTTATTCACAATGAATGTGTCTTTACCTACTGGCCAGCTTCGGGTATTTGGTAGAACTCATCCTGCCTTTTTAGACAAAGAGAAGATTTCCCAAATACATCCACACGGGGAAAAGACAGGGCAAAGAATAATCACATTCGCACAGGACAGAAGCAAAAATAATGTTATACCATGCTTTCAAGTCAGACGTAGAGTTTCGAGTGCGGTATCTCACAATTCTTAGATTACCTGCTTTAACTGATTTTCCAAAAGAAAAAGGAGAGAACCCCTTATACATGTTTCTGTGTCAGAGAATTAAACTGGTATAAGCTTCCATGAGAGAGCTGTTGTTTTATATAACCCTTACCTAAGCAACAAGATTAGTACGTATTTATGACCTGAAGACATTTGGTTTACAAGGAGTCATTAACTACACGCAGAATATTTGCACGAAAATTTAGAAATAAATACCTAAATATAGCATACTAAAGATATATTCTAAACTGGTTTTGGAAAGATGAAATTTACAGTTGTTTCAACTGTGACAGTCAGTCATCGATTGCCCAATCTGATGATCATGATTAAAGTACTACTGCCTCACAACATAATGTCCGCTACAACAAGCCTCTGTAAAGAAGGCGAGGGCAGTCTTAAACTACACAACGTGAAAAACTTTTCATAGACACACCATTGTATATGATTGTTGACTTCAAAAATCATACTTAAGCAAATATATAAAAATCCACAGGTACGCAGCCAGTTGACTTTATGCTGTTAGAGAAGAAAGTATGAACATCAAATACACTCTCCGTTGCTAGAAGAAAACCACGCCATCTAGTATATCTCCTACATTTGGTTTCAGGACATTTTCCTGATAATAACTACAGCTCACGTTCACTTTACTATGCACTTTGTAAAGATAATTTTTTTCATTATACGAGAAACCTGCAGCAATCATAGAATCGACTATAATTTTTCTTTACGTTCTCTGTTTCATGCAGAAGAATAGTTCATATCGCCTTCTGAAAGGTAAACAATTGTGTTTTCGTCGAATCCATTCAGGTATACCCAAACCTCGTCAAATGCTATAACAAAATCCAACAAAAGTGTATTTTTCCTAAAATTTGTGTAGTTTGTTTTTCTCCCACCAGTGTATTTGAGGTCACCTTGGGAAATTATGAGTTATGCTTCTTTAAAAGAATATGAAGTCTGTGAAGTATCTTTTGAATTAGTTGAGTGGGTATGTAAAAATTATCTACGACCATTTTTTGTGTGGAAGAATTCCTTGAACGTCCGTAGTCTGTGAACAGTAGCGGCAGTCGATCGTGCGTGTTGCCAGGTGCTGTTTAAATAGTTTTACATTCTCATATGGCCATGCTTATCTTCTATTACAGATGCTTTCACTTGTTACAGAGATTTATTCTTAAAATTGAATTTTCTTAAGTTTTTGCAGCTATTTTGTTATACAAATATCATTCCTCGGAAAAGGATATCAATAATCCTCCACACATATTTTTGTCCGTAACGGATTGCACTGTCTAATGGTCACAAATCGCATTTGCGACGAAACACATCGTTGTAGCATATACAAGTAGCTTTTTTTTAAAGTGCAATGGATTAACTCTCTGTATTCATGAAATTATTCGAAAATAACACATCAATTTCATTCACTGTATATGTTTTTCAACGACATAAATTCTTCACTTTTGAAACGTTTTCTTTGATATTTTACATTAAACTGCCTATTATTAACGCTTGAAATTTCATAAAAATTTTATTTAATTATAATAAGTTAAATAACGAACTTAATGTATTAGCTGATTTTAAAATCATTATCTCATAAAAAAATAAATCTTAAAATTTTTGGTTTAGTTTTAACAAACGTGGCTTATTTAAAGATTAACTCGAAAAATAAATTTAATTGAGACATTACGTCAATTCATAGGTCCATGCTACTCAGTTAATGATTTTTATATTGTTTATATCCCATGCATAACCATCCATTCGTGTTATATTATAATTTTCAGTTTAATATTTAATATTACATGTAAAAATAGAATATTGGATATACGTATAACAGTTTCAGAGCAAATTATTTAAAGCACGGGTTTCCAGAAAATATAAAAAAAATTGTTTGTCTAACATAATGTTTTTCATAAATATGTTACTATTTACATATTCTTATTGAATACGCAACTTTTGTTATAGATTATTTTTCTAAAATCTTAGGCCTTTCAAAGTATTCTAAATTTTAAACCCAGTCATAGTTTTCTATGATACCTTAAACAATATACCATGAATATTTTAACTAGCACAAGTTAAAATATTGAAAGCAAATAGTCTTTAAGAAAAATATTATAATACTCATTAACGCCAAATGTAATATAAGTAATCTAATCTTTGATTCGTACGAAGATTCATTTTAAGAATTTATATACAGTTACCTTTGGAATTTTGGATTTTGCTCATACAAAATATTAGTGTTCGTGTATGTAGAAATGTCTGAAAAGGGGGAACCTCTTACCAAGAATATTTTCAATTGGTTCGCAGTAAGTGGTACTAAATTGGAGGCAAGGTGTTTCTATCATACAAAAAATGAATTATAGAATCTTGATACAAGAACATGAAATATAATTTATGGATCAATAGCTCACCGTGTGTTGTACGATACCTCAAAGTAAGGAATATTATGATGATCACTAAAATTAATCCACCGGTAACTCCAGTTAGGATGATAAGCACTGGGCTTACATTCACGTTCCACTGTATACCTGTCAAAAGTAGGGATAAAATAGTGTTTTAATATATCAGATTTAATAAAGCATTTTTTTAAATATATATATATAATTGTGTCACTAACGTGTAAAACAAAACACTAAAGGATAACTGTAACATTTTACTCTCAGTATTGTTTAGTAACAGTCAACAATGTGAAGTATATTTAACGAAATTTAAACGTATGTTCTATATCTGTATTATTCTGCTATTCACGTTTCAACAAATAGTGGATCGAACATAACCACTATAATTACACGTATTTTACGATTTCATTGTTATAATATCATTAATCGTAAAGTTATCAGTATTCATAACGAACAATACTTCGCAAAAGAATGAATAAAGCACATACTTTGTTCATTTAAACTGAATTGATAGCGGTGGTTTCATAAGAGCATTAGTTACGGCAACAAAAAAAAAGATAAAACAGTCATTCATCAAAACAAAGATCATAATTTGTTATTAATAAAATGACATAATAGGAAACATATGTGGTATTTTAAATGCATAGACTAAGTAACTGCTCTAGTCATGAACTTTCAAAACACATCTTACGAAACCTTTCAATCACAGAAGCATGTAACCAAATCATTTTTTCCTTTTTCAATATGTTAAGATACTTTTCATAAGTTAAGGAATTTCATGTTAGTGTATTTCCAGTTGATTCATAAAGCTTACCTAAGTACAGGTATACTTAAATTGTTACAAGTGTTGAAAAAATATGAAACTTTATAATATGTGTTAAAATCTCTAGTGCCTACGTCTAAAAGTGTCTTGTATACATACTAAGGTTATTGTTGTTGTTTATGATTAAGCACAAAGCTACACAAAGGGCTATCTGTGCTCTGCCCATCACGGATATCGACACCAAGTTTCTAGCGGCATAAGTCCGCAAACATACCGATGTGCCACTAGGGGGCTCAAAGTAATGAAACCCACGTCAGGGCACTTAAATATCTAGCTATCAAGTGCAAATATTTACGACTATAATTAAAATAATCTAAATGCGAGAAGATTACTTATGCACAAGAAAAATTATCAAAAACATTACTCATGAAATATGGAAGTCATTAGATGCCCCTGTAATTAAATAATGACAGCTTAGGTATAAGTACCAACGATTATTTCCCTATGGACCATTGTATGCAAAAAGTTATTTAATGAACAATTTGATTTGATAAAACATTTAAGTACAGTTATGCTGTTCGTTATGGGTCATAATTGACTGCACAAATTTATACAAGAAAAAAATAAATACTTGATCGTTCCTTAAAAAATAATGACCTTAAAAAGTAAAAACTGTTAAATTATATGGGTTTACTCAGAAAATAAAAGTAGAACCTTAATCTCAATTATCAAATAATTAAAAATCCTTCCTCTACGCAGGCATATTAAGGTGATAAAAGTAACTTCGTCATCATAGAAAAATTCAAACTTATCTTTATGAAGATTTATTAAAATTTTAAAGGTATCAACTTTAATCCGAGATAATTAAATTTAAAAAATAACCGTTTTCCCTCTTTGTGTAGGTTTACAAAGCTGTTAAAAGTAATACCATCATCAGAAAATAATGACAGTGAGAAATACCATTTTTTCTTTACATAAATTTAATAAGTTTATTGAATATAAAAAGTAAGTCCTAGATGATTAACGAAGGAAAGTCCAGGTTTTTATTGTATATAGGTGTATTAAGGTTAAGTTAGAAATTTGGAAAACAATTTACCTATGAAACTTAGAGTAACTAAATAAATGGAAATAGCTAAAGAAAGTTTAAAAGCAATATTCATAAATGTATTTGTATTTCATGGTGTATAGTAAAAATATCGAAATACTATTTTGGTATATTTTGCAAAAATAAGTATATATATATATATATATATATAATTAAAGAAAATATTATCTATACGTGTTTTCCAATCGTACTTCTACTTCCAAGTTTTTCATAAGTATTTCATATATATTTCTTTTTCTTTTTCAAAGTAATAGACACCACAACACTAATACTAATTCTGTACTTACAATAAACATTTTGAGATGTTCGTCTAACTTTTCTTTACTTAAATATAAATGCATATACATAAAACAAAACATTAATTCAAAAAATGAGCGCATTGTTAAATGGGGATGTTGCAATAAGAAACTTGTTTAATGAACTTTTTATACTATTAAAACTAATACAGTACATGTTACATATAAAATATATCGGTGTTAAACTACTTTACTTACTGATGCTTGATTTAGAGAGAACAATATCGATTTTAAAGCTTGCCAAAATTGTCTGGACACTTCTTATACGTTTGAAATTCTTCCATAGTATGTTATGAAAGAGAATTCAGTGAGTATAAATAACAAAAACTCGCAAAATAGGTATATTAGTAGTGTAGAAGTGTGTGCTAGATACCCAAACGTCGTGAATTAGGAGAGAGGTCGTAAGCTACGAGAATTGTGATAAATCAACAGGTAAACGATCGCAGTGATTTTTCATGTGAGAGCTATTGTACAAGATAGTGTTTAATAGTATCGAGAACTTTTAGAAAATCATTCGGATTAGGGGAAATTTCTATCAGAAAATAACAAATGTTCATTTGTTTAAATTGAGAAAATCACCACCAAAAATAATTTTAGAATGTCAAAGTGACTAAATCGAATACAAGACGCTTGAATAGGCTCCAACAATCAGATTTATCTTATGTGTTTTTCATAAATGTAAGTACAATGGAGATACTAGAATACGCAAACCGTATATCACCTCCAAGAATTCTCAGTACACACTGGTATAAATGGATTCATGTTAGTCATGACGTTCGATCGCGATGTTAATACAATAACGAAAGCTCTTTCATCAACTTTTAAAGTGATGATCAAATCTGAATCTGGATGGAAGCAGGGAAACAATTCAACTATGATACTTGATAGGTGTTATGACTTAAATTACTTTCTGTATGTTAAAAATATTACTTTCCTCTAAAGTGTCTGTGTGCCGAAATGCCTATAACAATTAACATGTTGCAGAGCTCATAAAGAAAGTTTTTAGTCAACAAGCCAGTTTGATTTTCAGTAGAATTGTACTGTTTAGCATATACTTCCGACTATTATCAGTTGGTGAAATATTTTTGAAGCAAATTGCACTTGATACTTGTCATAACGTAGATTGTGTCTCGCATAAAAGTAAGAGTTTTGGGGATATAATGGTGCTACATAATGAGGACTGTAATCACCATGAAACCCTTTGTGAGAGCAGGGCATGCTTGACAAGTTTCTGAAATGCTCCTGAAGAAAGCACGAAAACATTAGTTGTACGCAATATCATAATCAGCAAATATATAATTTGTTCTGATTTTATGGAACTTCTTTCAGGGTTATTTTTCATGACAATAATCTTTGACAAGATTATTATTCGTGGCACTATATATTTTTTTCTTTGAGTCACGAGGCCGCTTCCGACCATTGGAGCATCTTAGATGCTGATGCAACATCGGTGATTCTCGGGCAGATTTTACCTGGTGGCGCCCATCTCCACTCCAAGTAGCCGTCCCTAATTTAGCAGTGAAAATCTAAAGTAAAGGAGTTAGTCAACACCACCCACCGCCAAATCTCGGGATACTCCTTTACCAATGAATATTGGGATTGACCGACATATTATAGTTACGTTTCATCTATTACATTGGATGACTAAATATATGTGAGTTTGAAGTTATAGAAAAACTACTTGCAACACTGTGCACACTTAGACAGCTTACCAAAAAAATCAGCAAGCAATGATCTTAACGACTAACCTTTATGTGTTAGTGTTTCAGTTTCAAGAACGTGAAGGGTGTCTAATTTCAACACAACCGCTTGACTTTTTCCTTTACTGTTAACTGAAGAAACCTTGGCTGTATATGTTTTCCCTGATGATAGCCCATCGACCAGAAAAATAGGCTTCTTTGCTGTTATATTGACTAAAACAGCCTTGAGGTATTTATCATGAACCTCTATCATGAAATGTTGTTCAAGCCCTCCGTTGAAGCCTTCTAAGCATTCCACTCTGAAAGAAGATTCTGATTTGTTGACCACAGTACAATTTTGTGGAGGGTCTGGAACACCTGAAATATTAATGATATATTATGCGTAAAAAAATAAAAATCGCATTTTGTTAAACAGACAGACAGAAACAAAATTACAATAAAATGAAGTAAAGAATCCAAAGTGCTTTCATCCTACACCATTTAAGCATAAAGGTATTTTCTCAGATCAGATGCATTACTTTAACCAATTATAGAGAATTAAAGTAATGGTAAATAGCTTAAAAGTCGACAAAACACTGAATAGGATTATGGTTCTTTAGCTTCGGTGTTATATAAATTATTCAGATATATCTCAAACGGTTGATACAAAGACTCAAGTAAGACACACTCAATTGTTATATAATTAAAATTACTAAAGTCTTATTATGATGCTTGATCACATTTATTATTGTTTAAGGCACAATTATAAGATCTAAAGTTAATTATTTCAATACAATTTTCGTGAGATTATCCCTGGATAAATATACGATTTCTACAAAACATTCTTTTATAAGTGTATTACTGTTCAATGATAACCTCATGAAAACTTGCATAATTATTTTAATGTAAATTAAGTGAAACTTTATACTGATTTTTTTGTGTGTTCTGCCAACAGAAAGGATAATTTCATTCTATAAACCAAATACGATAATTATTTTAATGTCCTATACATTTTCTTGTGTGTATCGTTTGGAATCGTTTGTTTAATCGCAAAGTACATTTAGCTATTTTCATGCGCGCTTTCTTATTTTTAAAATACTTGAGCTTTAGCTAAAACTATACACTCGATCATGCGCATTCAATACATCTGAGACCAATGATATCTAAGCGTTAAGGGCAGTAACATTATAATAATTTGTTTATTTGTTGACCTGAATGACATCTTGTGAACACAGTGGGCTCATTCTAATAGTACACATATATAAATTCGAACCAAAGGTATAATAAAATGTGAACATGTGGATTTTGATAATTATTCTCAATCTTTTATAAGCAAACAATGAAAACCAATTAATAAATATCTAACGATGTGAAATTAGTTTCTTCTACTGTATGCCAAACTGTAGAATGAGCACATCATTCAGCACACGCAATTCAAAGTAGAAATTTAAAAGGGAAATGAAGTGAGAATGAACCATTCATAAATGTGATGATACTTTCAACTTAACTGCATTACTTGAATTTGTTGATTTTACTAATTCCAGCTATCTTTTGCTTATAGAACGATGATTGAAAATATATATATCATTAGATTATTCTTTAGTTATTTGTGAAATTAATGCACTTAATCTGAAATGTTTTATTTTATTTTAGTTTTTACGTTTAGAATGTGTGTTGTAAAACTGCTTACGATGCTTTACTTTCTTTGCTTCTTCGTACATCAGTAGAATGAATACTATTCGTGATATAGCAATAATTATCGGTAGATATACCGAGGAAGACAATGGGAAACAGCAATCCGTGATAACCAGAGGGCGCTACATCTATACCTGAATCCTTGAGCTAACGTGATAGATAGCCGAAAGAACCTATCCAATATTCGACATTATTACATGCTGTCGGATGGCTAATTTGACTTATAGCAATGGGAATACCTAAGGTCATTTGTGTATTGTCGTGCACCTGCTATGTTAATATATTTGGTAGATGCTATCGGAAAGGAAGCAGTCATGTTGAATATTGTCAGTTTCGTACAGCTGTCTATTACATTGGTATGGATCGTTGGCACGAAATGTGCCCATACGGTGCAAGTATAGTGTACTCTGGTGCCATTTCCATTGAACACGAATTCATATTCCCCACGGACTCGATATAATATTTAGAAAGAATTATTGCTCTGTGGCAAATAATACGGACTTTATTGATGTTCAAACACGACAAGCAACTTTATTATAAGAACTCGCCTTGTGAAGGAAGCAAGAAAAAGAGTAAATAATAAATTAAAAACGATTGGAGCTAATGCTTCTAAAAGCATGGTCATTTAACAGAAGATATGTCTAAGAAACAAACAAAAATTATTTTGTAACTTTTTAGTTGTAAATAGATGGCATTCCTCCGCAACATGTTATATATTATACGTCTGTGGTATTCTCACGTTCACTGATTTGTCTGCGAGCAATCGGGTATGAGTCACAGAATAACTGGGGTTTCATCAAAAAAATTTTGTGAAGAAAATCAGAGTTCTCTTTAGTTCGTCTAAGTTGGAACTAAAGAAAGAGACTAAACACAACGTAATACAAAATGAAATAATATATATTTCCAGCAAACAAATACTATCAACGTTTTAACTCGTGTGTATTTGGTGACAACTTTCCTTGATTGTGTTTAAACATCATCACATTATATTATTATAGGCTAAGAAAACATGGTATTATATACAGAAAACAATAATACCATTCTTCTGAGGTGCAGGCGCTATACACGTAACTAACAGTCACTCTCATTACAATACAATGAATTATATTTCCCTGGGTCATCGCCTGATTTGTCAGAAAAGAATATCACGGTTTATTTCTGTGCAACATGTTCTATGTTGCAGAAACCTTTTCCACAAAAAAGTAAATGTGACACCCTAGTTCAACCTAGTTCTGTGAGTCATTAGGACAATATAAACTTACTGGCTCCCTGCAATAAGAAAGCAAACAGTATGCACACAAAAATTTAAACATTTCTATAGTAAATAAGAAGATTGTAAACACATGGTATCCTTCCATACTACACATTTCTCCTTTCCATTTGCCCTGTGGCTAACCCAGCTATTCCTAAGTTTACAATTTAAAACCAATTAAAATATTTAGGTATTGGTCAAGCAATTTGGATAACTTTCTCTCACCCGTTCAAAACACTAGCTCTTTTATAGAAACAACTATAACTGAATATACAACTTTGTTTAGAAAACGTCATTACAAATTAAAGGACAATATTAGAATAAATTGAAATTGATAAATAGTGCAATCACCACTAAAAACAAATCAAAGCTTCAAGAACAACATTTGCAGAATACAAAACACACAAACCCTTGTAAACATAAATCTCATATTAAAATACGAAAAGCATAAAATACTAGAAAATTTCTAAAACAAGATGTGTTAAAATTACGTTGCAACCTAATCCTTTGTCATTAATGTGTAAAATAATTCCCTTAGAAAATGCATATAACAATATTAAAGAGGAAAAGTCAAGTAACGCATTCAAAAATACAAAATAAATGGTCTCTATACAATAATAAAAAATAACATTAAATTCTTACATAACTAAATTTTAAAAACCAATAATGTTTATCAAATGTCTGCATATACATACAAGCAGCCACAAGAATGTACATAAGTACATAAATACAATCCCTTCTCAGAAAAAGAAAATAAATGACAATGATAATACACAAAATAAATAAGGAATAACAACTACATGCATCTGTACAGTAAATATACAATAACATTGACACATACCCTACTTTACAATATTTACCCTAAATATACATGAAAACATAGAAAATAAAAATAAAATAATGCAATGGTGAGTTAAAAAGACATACAGCATATCCTCCAGGGCAGTGAGCCATGGTCTTCTGGCATATAACTTCTTCTCTGATCTTGCAAAAGTATTCTGAGTCTGTGCCAAATAATTCTTGAGGTGTTATATCTTTCTCATACTCTACCTGGCCAAATGCCAGATGTGCTCTTGGGTCTTGGAAACCACGAAGTATTTGGAGATAACTTAAAAATCTCCATATTAGAGAGCTTTCGGTATAGTCGCCCTCAATCTTTTACAGTAGCTTTTGGATTTGTCAATAAAAATTTGCCCCCCAGTGGCACAGCGGAATGTCTGCGGACTCACAACGCTAGAATACGGGTTTTGATACCTGTGGTGGGCAGAGCACAGATAGCCTATTGTGTAGCTTTGTGCTTAATTACAAACAGGCAATAAAATTAAACTTTACATCAAAAAGCTATATGAAAACAGAATAATCAAAGGGGTTAAGAAATTAATCATAAACATAATAATCTCAGGATTGAAATGTAAAATACACTGAATTCTGATCTGTCAAACTTTGGCTGAAACTGTAGGTAAAAATTTTTAATGGACTGTACTTAAATTTCCTTTAGAAATAGATGGTGAAAACTATTGATTCACATATATATTAGCTGTAGAGAATGTATAATTTTCACCTGTATATGCCCTTGTACCCTGGCTTCACAGGCTTCACAAAATTTCATGTTTTACTTACATCCAGCTACCCTTGACTCATCCGTATTCCTTTCATTACTGTTTGGCTGTTATACAAACAGGGCTCTGGGCCCATCAGGAAAGAAAAGGTTTGAGGAAAGACTGCAAACTCTTGTTCTTATGCAAGCAACCAAAACAGACCAGCTACCACACAGGCACTAACCTCAAACTTCTGACCATAAAATTAACTAACTTGTTTACTTTCAGATACATGATTAACACAGCAAATCTGAAGCAACTTTGCACTGATGTTACTTCTTGCCTTCAGCTATACACTCCGAGTTTGCACTTCATGCATTTCATCTGCACCTTGTACTGAAATACATCCGTGTGCTTGTCAAAATACTCCAATCTCCCTGATTGAAAATATTCAGTTATGATGAAGTAAAATACTAAATTCACTAAGTTTAAATTTTGCATAAGATAAGCTACTGTTTGCAGATTTCAAATTTTTACACATAATACGCCTACTCACAAACATCTTGATTTGATCCATTCGATCACTATCACAACATATACAACAGATCAAACTGGTTTCTTCCAAGCATAGCGTGAACCTCTTTCATAAAAATCCACTAATTGTTAAATATTCCAGTGTTGAAATTGAAACATGCTGCCCTCAGCATTAATGAAAATACCAGACTCATTGTATCATGAACTAATGTTTACAAGTCAGTAATCAGTTAACTTCAAGTTTTAATGTCTGAATAAAATCCTATATTTGTCCTTCTTATGTGCATGATAGGTGTGGTCTCAGTGTAATTGATCCATTTTTGTTATACAGCACTGATGAATGACTTTGTGTAATATCC